TAAAAGCTACAGAAATAAGAAGAAATTAATTTAGGGCTCTTCGTGTAAATTCTATAACTTTGCAAAGAAAGGTCATGTAGAGTTGGAAGAGGTCTCATTTTAATCAGAAATGTGCGGGCTACAATCACGCCTCATTAAGAAAGGTTCGGGTTATTTTTTGGGGTTTCTGAAAAACTGGTTTGCTAGAAAACCAGGTCTCCGAAGGCCTAGCAGCAAAAACTATTGTCATATTCGGAATCAGCATAGTCGATAACCTATTCTCCACTAGGTTTCAAAAAAAAAGCGAGCGGACACTTGGGGCAGTTCCCTCGTAAGTCCACTTGTTTTGAGTAAAACAACCGTCTTTACCCGTAGAAAACGTATAACTGATTCGAACGCTTTACTGCTGCCACAGGCTAAACAAAACTAATGCTAGATATGAAATAGCATTCTACAGAAGAAAGTTTTTCTGCGGTTTTCAGAAGGTTTTCAGCAATATTCGGTATCAGCATGATCAGTTACGTATAACCTGATGCAATTTACTTTGGCATTAAAAAAATTTTCTATTTTTCTGCAACATGTACCGTAGACTTCAAAAATCTTTTTGCTGGTCTCACCCACATGTCAGTTTCTGAAAAAATTTGTAAGAATAAAAATGGTCTTATCGCCACTCCTTTAAAACAATTTTAATTGGATACGTAATTAAACTCACATGTATCCACCCGTACAAGGGTTTCAAATGGTATTAAACGAAGTTCTCGAGATAGTTTCTTTCTTACGAAAATATCGCAACATGATTTTCTCATCGTACCATTAATTCTGACTCTCACCGTAAATATTCAGTTTTTTTATAACGTTATCACTATCCATAACTACGCATAAAACGAGAGGAATAAACATATTTAGATGTAGTGTTTCGTGTGACATGTAGCCTTATGAGACGTGAGCAGAAATTCATTCATAAGTGTGTGACATTATACCACCGTTGTAGTCTGAGATTTTCATACTGCGACAAAGTAAAATCGATGAACTAGAACTAGTTCTCTAAGAGCTTCTAAACCAACACTTCATTAATACTTTTCTGAGAAAACTGATATTTGATCATGTCTTAATATAGATTCTCTTCGGAACAACAATTTATGAAAATATCCAGTATGGTAATGAAGACGCTACTTCTTATGAAATTGAACAAGCAGCTAAAGATGCAAACGCCCACGATTTCATCATGAAATTACCTAAGGTGACTTAAGTTATTGTGATACAATAACCTGTCTTAACTCTTCACAAAACTGTGAGACAGCATTTTAAGGTGTGTTTCAGCAATACCAGACCTTAGTTGGTGAACGAGGAATACACCTAAGTGGTGGAGAGAAACAGCGTGTTTGTTTGGCTCGTGCTCTGGTACGAAATCCAAAAATTCTGTTGTTGGATGAAGCTACAAGTGCATTAGATAATACCAACGAAAAAATTGTACAAGATGCACTGGATCGAGCATGCAAAGGTACAAAACTGAATAAAATCTTCCGTTTTACCATCGTCAATTTTGAATGCTTGCAAGTCGACAACGATACAGTACCCGCAGTACAACTTTTATCATAAATTTTCTATACTGTCTTGAGCAGCAGTAAGAGTTTGTGAAATGTTATTATAGATTCAGTTCTGCTGTTGTACAGTAGAAGTTCTACTAAGAGTCTAATTTGGAAATTAATTCGATTGAAACGAAACACAACTTGAAACTTTCAATCAGAGTTTCCGAGAACCAACCTGCTGCATCTGAAAAAAATTTCTGCTCTCTACGAGTTAAGCTAAATAAGCGAATAATCGACACTCAGGTAAAGGATGTCAGTTTAGTACAACAGTGCGTACAGGTTGAGCAAAAATATTTTTCCAGGAGGATAGAACTCGAATCGCAAATGATATAAAAGTGAATTATATATAAAATTAATGCTTGGCTAGAACGGGATAAATGGGTATAATTATCCGTATGAAGATTATTAACTGTAGAATTCTGAAAATGTCTAGAATTTTATGGAATACAATTGTTATGACCCATCAGACGGAGAAGAGAATCTCTTCTAATATAACTGGTAAAGGTGTCTGATGGGTATTTAGAAGGCGTATCTTCAATTCATATGGAGACGACTATGTTTTTCCTTGTACTGTTGTCCAATCTTGCTTCTCTCTCGGAATTTTCTTCTCCGTCCGATGGGCCATAACAATTGTATTCCATAGAATTCTAGACATTTTCAGAATTCTACAGTTAATAGTCTTCATACGGATAATTATACCCATTTATCCCGTTCTAGCCAAGCATTAATTTTATATATAATTCACTTTTATATCATTTACGGTTAGAGTTCTATTCCCCTGGAAAAATATTTTTACCCAGCCTGTATACTAAGGCTTCGCAATTAGAAAACGTTTAAGCTAGCATTTTACGGAAAAAAGTTCACCGGAATAGATGAATAACTAGGGATGCTTTCAATCTAATATCATTATGACGAAAACTAAAAGGTTATACACGTATTCATACAGGAGGGAATGACATTGGTAACCAAATGTATGAAAATGACTGAAATGACAGTATTACTTGGCGAGACTATGCATCGTTACAACAATTAAGTAATACACTTCTTCATGTTTGTGAACGCAGGACGTACGACAATTGTCATTGCACATCGCCTGTCAACAATACGGAATGTAGATAAAATTTGCGTTATTCAAAATGGTTCAATTGTTGAACAAGGAACTCATGAAACATTATTGATGAATCATGAAGGACAATATTATAATCTGATTCACACAAATCAACTATCACACGAAAGTGATGAAGCTGAAAGCATGAATGAACAACAGCAGTTGAATAATATCATCATAGAAGGTTTGTCTGGTTCTTGGCTATAACGCTATAAGTAATTGCAATGTTTCTCTCTAATAATAGATAAACAAAGGCTATTAACTTCCTCAGAAGAAGAAAAAATGACTCAATTAAACGGTCAATCGAACGAAAAAGTGAGTTTTGTCGCCATAGTGGATTCTCTCGTGTTCAGCCATAGTATTAAATTCGCTTGCTGGGCTAGCAGCATAACTAACACGAGACCTTATTATAAAACAGTAGAGCTAATTGGAATTTCAAGTGAAAAGTTTTCTTTAGTATGCAGGCGAAAACTGGAGAATTTAGACTTTAAACAGTTGATTAATGCAGTACTGACCTACATTATGGTTTAATATGAAACAGTCAAAACTGACAGTCTAGCTAATTGCATATATTTTCAATATCTGTTTAACTGTATTTTAAAACATACTTTTTATCTAATTTAATATTGTGTTTGATGGACTGACTATTTGTTCAGCTTGACTTATTACGAATCGCTTTTTCTTTTGAAGGCATCAACTAAACATTCAACGTTTTCCATCATGTTAAAATTAAATAAGCCAGAATGGCCATTTATTGTACTAGGATGCATAGCATGTACATGCAACGGACTGATACAACCTGTTTTTGCATTGGTTTTCAGCAAAGCAATTGAGGTTTGTATAGCTTAGTTGATAAAGGAATATAGCCGATACCGCCCTCGTGCTTAGGTACAAACGTAAATTATCATTCACTGAAATATTCTTCCCAAAGCTAACCATACCCGATTATTGTGTATGTTGCTTTTCTTAATACAGAAAAGAACCAATTGTATTAGATTAGAGACAACTGAAAATGGATATATTCATTTTAGGCTTATAGAGAATGTGATCCCGTGAAACGGCAACATTTTATCACAATTAGCCTTTTGATGTTTATTAAACTCGGCGCTATTTCAGTTGTAACAAGATTTTTTCAGGTTAGTGTTGTTACTATAACTGAGACGTATTAGTTTATGCGATAAAACTCATCTTTATACACAACGGTAATATTGTGTTTCGATAGTAAATAAAAGTTGAGAGTCCAGTTTAACATTATATTTATTTAACGTGACATGTAACGGACTGTACATGTTCTCAGTAATATCATGTTTTTTCTATTTTAGGTGTTTCTCTTCGCATGTTCTGGCGAAGGCTTAACAAAACGTTTACGAACAAAAGCATTTCGCAGTATACTTTGTCAAGAAGTAGGATGGTTTGATAAGCAAGAAAATAACACTGGTGCTTTGTGTACACGTTTATCGACAGATACTACAGCCATTCAAGCTGTATGTATTATTCATTTTTTCTCCTTGGTGCTCTATTGAAGTGGCAGACAAAACTTTTCTTTCGGTTTTTCTGTGCTCCCATAGAAGATGTGTCGCATCGCTTTTCATCACATACGCTGTAATGTTGTAAGTTACAACTTGTAACTATCAAAAATTTTTATATCGAGAGAACTTGACCGAGTGGCACAAAAAACATGTTCTCTGACAGAGAACAACACAGATTTCACTGTTCATTTTTTTCCTCGTTAAATTAAATCAAAACGAAACAAAAAACCCACTCTATTCGCTGTTGAATTTCATGTGCTACATTTTAGTAGAAAAAGTCTCTCAAAGCTATTGACTTTTAATTTTTCAATTTAAATTTCGCGTTAAATTGGAATCTTTTAGCAGTTTAAAATTTAAAACGTAGTTAAAGTACATTTTCTAATGAATTACTCAGAAGCGCGTGTAAAATTGAACAAGCAGAGCGCCTAGAAAGGCACTATATACTTCGCCCTACCAAAAGAGGACCATTTTTGTACGCTTCGGATAAATCTTTCAACTACTCGATCTTGTAGAACAAACACTTTTACGATTATCAACATAGGTTTCTGACGAGGAGGAGCTCCTTAATGAGAAAATTTTGAACTCTGATGCGACACATTTTCTATAAAGACCGAGAGAGATGAAAACGAGAAGATGTTCTGTCACTTTGAATGATTGTATAAGAGTAATTAATTTTTTCAGATGACTGGTACCCGCCTCGGTACAATTATGGAAACTGTTGCAAATTTGACTCTTGGATTAGTTATTGGCGGTTTACTGAGTTGGAAGTTAGCTGTTATTTTGCTTTTTATTATTCTCATCATGTTATTTGTTGGTTTTATCGACACATATTTAAGAGTTCGTTTCAATAGAAAAGATAACTCGATTTTCGAACAAGCTGGAGGGGTAAGAAAAAAGTGTTAGAAGGGAAAATCCTAATTTGCACGCGTTATTTATCTCATGTCACTCGCATTCACTGCTGATGGCGGCTTATGATGTTGTTCTAATGTTACGGATCAATTAGAATTAAGCAGCTATTGGAAGAGCGCCATTATATACAGTATACCTACATGCCTGAGAGTATTATTAATGGTCCCCCTGAGAAATACTGTAAAAGCTCAGATAGAAATAAAATTGTTTTGTACTCATACTTATACTCGAAAAAATGTGTACTCGCCCATCTCTATCTATTATGTATTTAGCTTGTTGTTGAATGTATACAAAATATGCGCACAGTTATCCAACTCTCAAAAGAAGAGTATTTTTGTGACAAATATTGTAACCTGTTAATTGAACAGTACCGGTAAGTGCGAGTAAATGCGAGTGTAAATGCTTTTTCGTTTTGAATGGCCCAAGAAGTTATACTCGTATTATGAAGGTAATATAATTCAATTATGTTTAGAATGTTCAGAAAAAGAGTATATTTCATGGCACTATTACATGCTATAGGCTTTACTATGGTCTATTTCACTATGCCAATTATACTTGCCGTTTCAACAGTATTAATCGAGCAGCAAGCAATTAACCGTGCTAATATAATGCTGTAAGATAGTCACGTCAAGTCATCTAAAATCGAAAGTTTTTCTCTTTTTTTTCTTTAAGGGTTTTTGGATTTGTGCTGTTTAGTATGCAAGCGCTTCACGTGGCATTAAGTTTGTAAGAATCAAATTGAATATCTAGGCGAACTAAGCCAGGAGTGCAGCACGTTTACTTTACAAAATTCACTCATATTTGTCATTCAACTGAGAGAACAATCGTTATTATATATTTAACAGAACCGTTCTTCAGGCTATTGTTTCAGGAGGGAAGGCACGCCAGATATTAGACTTATTCATTTCCTTTTAGAAATGTTTTCTTATTATGACTTCTTTTGTTAATAAGGGCACCAGAAATCAGCAAATCCATTTCTGCAGCTGATTGGTTTGTTGGCTTATTTGAAAGGAAATCATTAATTGACAGCAATTCCACGGACGGAAAGAAACTAGTAATTGATAAGTATGTTTTGTTATCTATCAATGATTTGATTGTTTCACTTTGAAGGATGCTGTTACGGGCGAATTAAGATTTGATTCAATTAGTTTTATGTATCCCACTAGACCAGACTCAATTGTATTGAATAATCTTGAATTTGACATTAAATCTGGTCTGTATATTTGAAATAAAGGAAAATGATTAAACTATTTATTACGAATAAAAATTTTTTAGGACAATGCATAGCAATTGTGGGTATGTAGAAAATATAAGAGTCTATAATAGATTATCTTAGAAACAAATTTTCTAAAAACATCTGTTACTAAAGTGTGTTCAACGCATGTAGTGAGTATCAACATGTTCGTTCAATATTACCTTTAGAGCAAGTCTAGACTTATATGTAACAAATTTGGCTAAACACGGAAAATAAAATAACTAATGCAGAAAAACTTGATAAAGAGGAAAATTAGAGGCTAACGGTAGTTTATCAGTGGAAATATAGACGAGAGAGCGACATAAATAACGCAAAAGCAAACAGAAACTAGTGATAATTAATCTGTCTTAGAGAAAGCTTGAGCTTTAGAAACTACTTTTGTTTGATATCTTTTCGTAGGATTTCATAGAGAAGAGATACATATAGATAATCGAGTCTGGCGATAAGTAACAGACCGTTCTGATCACTAGCGTCGGTAAGCAGTGCCACTAGCACTTCGAAATAAAGGCCTGCAGAAGACGCTAGGATCTATTCAACTGTGTCTGATCAACATATGATCGGGTAGTACTATAACAGATACGAAATAAACTTTGACACAGAACTCCTGATGTCGTCACGTTGTCAAGTCAAGATTATAAGAGTAAGACGGTGAAAATTTATAAAATCATCCCAAACGATGAGTGACTAGGATAAAATGGCGACGAAGACGTGACCACTGCTTTTTACGGAGTTGTTCTGCCTTTCACACGTAAAACAGAAGAGTTTTTTCATTCTTCCAGTTTTACAATTTTCTGAACGATGACTATTTCTACCTGAAAGGTTTTCGATTAAATAAGGATAAGCCCAGAAAATTTTTAAGGTAAGCGAAGGATGATGAGAAAACTATTTTACCACACAGCATAGAACAGATGGCCGCCTAGGAAGAATAACTAAGCTTTTCTCTCCACAGTATGTGTCTCAGCATGCCTCTATCACTGCTACAAAATACGTCTATAAACTTCTCTAAAACAAAGCTTTCAGTCAACGTTCAATTGAATCGTAGATGAGAAATTATAAGTGAAATGCTAACCATGGTATAGAAATAGCATTTTCCTCAATGAAATTCATTTTATACAAGTCCGTTTTTTATTCCTCTCTTCGTTTAAGGTTCGAGTGGTTGCGGAAAATCAACAGTGATTCAGTTGATCGAACGCTTTTATGATGTTACGAAAGGTAGTTTGGTAAGAGCTAGAATTCATTTCGTTTGCACTTTTTATCAATTTTTATATCTAGATTTTTAACATTCTTCAGTCTAGAAAGTGTTCATCTTTCAAATATCATCCATAACTAGTTTCCTAAATACAAACTGTCTGGCAGAAGTATGAAACAGGGCGGAGTTGTAACAGTTCTACTCCGCAACCAAAGTTTCATTAGTCCTCGCTCATCTCAATCACATTTTCTAATTTGTGTAAATATTTCCATTTACTAGAAAGATTGTAGCATCCTGGATTGCACTGAGTATTTGAAAATGAGCTAATATAGTAATAGAGTTTGTCTAGAATCTATTAACATAACTTGCTTTGTATACTATTAGATACTCAACGATTGTGATATTCGTACACTTAATTTACAATGGTATCGATCTCAAATTGGACTTGTCAGTCAAGAACCAGTTCTATTTGACTTATCAATCAGAGAAAATATTGCCTACGGCGACCACTTGCGAGAAGTCACATTCGACGAAATAGTAAATGCAGCAATCCAGGCTAATATTCATAATTTTATACAAACACTTCCTGAGGTAGACGTGTTACTCTATCAATGATTAAATTTATTACCAATAAATAAGTAAATATATGCTCATATTATTTTGATTATAGGGTTACAATACAAATATTGGTGCAAAAGGCGCACAACTATCAGGTGGAGAAAAGCAGCGTATTGCGATCGCGCGTGCACTAATACAAAATCCCAGAATACTTTTACTTGATGAGCCAACAAGTGCATTAGATTATGAAAACGAGAAAGTATGTACGCTGACGTTAAGTCAACTTCAAGCACTATTAGATCTCTCTCTCTCTTTTTCAGATTGTTCAGCAGGCAATTGAAAGTGTGCAAATGAATCGCACAACAATCGTTGTTGCACACCGTTTATCTACTGTACGAAATGCCGATTTAATATGTGTAATGCAAAATGGACGCATTGTTGAACGTGGAAAGCATGTTGAATTGCTGAAGCAAAAAGGGATTTATTATAGACTCTATCAGAACAGTTGAAGCTAAACGTAAGAAGAATGTCAAAAAAGCATACCAACAACAAACATTCTTTAGCATGCATAATGACTTTCAAAGCACATTTTTGGGAAGGTTTGTTATTCTGCAACCGTCAATCACTGGGCAATACTGCTTAGCAGTAAACACAATTGTTTATATATTCAATAAAGATTCGATGAGATGGCTAAGCTATAAGTGTTTAATATGAACAATGCAATCTTTCGTGAGATAAATTTGCATCATCAATCAATAAAATAAGAGAAACAAAGTAAATGTAGCTCTTTTATTCATACTGTAATAAAAACTAGATCTCAAATGTCTTAATGTAGAGGGGATATTTTGAGACAGAAGTCGGTTCAGTGTTTGACGCATTTTTTGAGACGTTTGACACATTGAGACGCATTTTCCACCAACAGATCAGCACGTATTTTGCTGTGAAATGAGCGTGATCAGCGTTCAATAATATCCTGATAAAGCTATTTATTTATTTAGATTATATATATATATATAAAGGTTGAACAGAAAATAACTTACTAATTTGCGTAGTAGAATAAATAAACTGATAAACAAAGCAGGTGGTATGACTGATGTATCAAGGGTGGTCCAGAAGTCCTGATTCGGTTTGAATGGTTAGTTTTTCTTTAGTAAAATACATGATTAAAAATGTATCTCTAGTGTGAAAAGATGCAGCAGAACACGCTCTACAAAATGGCTCTTGATTGACCATTCTACCTCATATAGTGAGAAAGTTACAAGCTTAGAAACATGCTCCACGGAAAATAAAAATTAACCGTGAACCCGATTTCTATGATGGTTCTTCCTATAAAAGTCTCGTAGCTGCATCAAAACAGAAGGTTTGCCAATCAGGTTTATTTTATTTTGATCAGAAGTGATTGCACTCCTCTAACTAGCTGCGACATCAAAACATCGATCACCTTTCCTTTTTTGCTGAGTACATTGCCGAAAATCAGAGTGTCAATTCTCGACGTATTCTCGAAACTTGAATCTCAAGCATTTTATAGCTCATAAAAGATTATACAATACTAGCTACAATGAATATAGAAGTCCTAGGAAATTGATCTTTGAAAAATGGTGAAAAGTACATGAGACATAGAATGAAGTATCGAGATTTGAGAGTTCACGTTTTGAACAGTAGTATTATACATCACTCGATGTTATTTTATTTGGAGATTACAAATTTAATCATCAGACTTGTGAAAAAACTGAAACAAATTGATAAAGAACTAAATTTTGAAAATGGATCCTAAAAATCGGATCTGATACAATCAACTTGTATACCACGAAAAACTATCATCTTAATGAAATAAAATTCTTGATTATATGTCAAATCGATGGTTACGTTTTAAACCTTTTTCTACAAACAAATATTAACACGAGACTAAACATGATCGATACCTGAAATCCACCCATTCGAACGATCTGGAAACATTTCCGCTAATTGAGACTTGCCTCTAGATCTCCACTTTCGAAGGACGAAAGTGGAAATGCTCCAGCTTTTTTCTATCCGAAGTTATGCAAAAACCGGTGGACAATATTCTCTTTCGAATCGGACAATAAATAAAGATACTCCCACTTTTATCCGTGGATTTCACGACGTTTATTCTGGTCGTGAAATGCCCAAATTTTTCTACATGAACGCAATAGTCATGTCTAGTCCTATTTTCAGCTATATATCAAAATATAATCACGTTCTTCTCTTTCGTTATTTATTCTAATTCCCATTCCTCTCTTGTCTGACAAGATCTTTAATTTTGAGTCGGATATCGCTTAATGAAGAAGACAGTCTTGATTTTCAAATAAGACCACTGCGTGAGTTCCACGTCTAAAAAATGTAAGGGTTGTTGCATAATCATATTTCTTTGTGTATTGTACGTATTTTCTTCATGGTTTCGTTTTCTGTTGCGTAGATTTTATTGATATTAATTTCTCTAAATGATAAATTTGATGAGAAAGGAAAGTGGGTACCCATAAAATTAAGCGTATTTGTAAATTTTTTCCAAAACATGCAGGTTGTAGTTACTAACTGTTATAATTCCAGTGGTGCTGTATATCAAAAGATGATTTTTTGCTAAGTTATCGTCCCACATATTGCTCGGCATTCAAATCAGCTAATTTCTCTTCATTTGTTAACTAAATAGGAAACTGTTAAAAGAACTACAATCGAAAGCAAACAGGTATAAGTTCGTGTTTATTTTATCTGTTGAACATACCTTTATTCCAAAATGTAATTATCACAACATATTAAGCAAAAATGAATGAAATTAGTTGTACCACCAAAGAGACTAAAGTCATTGGATATGCAATTGAAATAAAAAAATGATAACAAATCTAGGATGGTTCAGAAAAGTATTCAGTTCAAATATCTCTTTTGATATTGTGTACTATTTAGGTATATGAAAATGTATATACAGACGATTTGTCAGTATAAGTAACTTAGAAGTAGAAGACCCTGCTATATCAACAATGCAGAAAATCTTTAATTCTTTTATTTGAATATTGAGTATAGGCAAATTCTGCATGAAAGTAAAGACAAAGGATCTCAATGAGTTCAAAACATATAAATAGTTCTCATGCCTTAGCTTTTTTTTTTTCTTTCCATACAAATATGTACGGGAAACCCAACGCTTTCTTCTTCTTCTTAACTTATATGTCAGTATAAAAATTTTCTATTTTTTTCTCTCTCTCTCTTGGACTTCTGTTACACACACATAAATATAAAAAAATAAGAATTTGAAAGAAACAGATGGGAAAAAGCTTTTCTTCTTTTCATTCTTATGCCAAGGGTATTAATGTGTTTCAGAGTACGAATGAAGGTAAGTTATTCAAGTAGTTAAAAGCAACATTTACTCTTCTTTTTTCAGAAATGAAATTGTCGGCCTTGATAGCCTACTTGACAGTTATTACTTATTACAATATTCAACCTATCATTGCTCCAGTTTATTGTGTATGTCAATGTTGTCAAGGCATAAACTGTCGGCCCACAGTACAAGGTTTACTTCAGTTTGATACATATTGCTATAAACCGGGTATATGTACGCCCGAATTGTGTCGAAATCGTGATTATCCTTCCTGCCCATCGACACCCTTTGATGTTGGAAATATTATTGCGACATGTGAAGATACAATCATCAATACTGCATCAAAGAACACTTCAAGATCATCAACTCTATATGTTCTACTCGTTTGCACTTTTATTTGCACTTTACTGTATTATTAAAAATGTCTGAAAATAGAGCGTTAATCTAAAAATGAATCGAAGAGCTCCAAGACGTCGTCGAAAATAAGGTGGATGACACACGTTCTTCAAGTAAGGCTTCCTGGAGAGCGAAAGTTCTTTATAGAACAAGAAATTGATATTTGAGCGCGCACAGAATTCTCAAACTACAAACAACATTTTTATCACGAAATCACTGAATCTGATTTTTGTATTGTATGTTTTTTTATTCTTTTTGTTAGTTTTTTCTTCTCTCAATTTCTTTTTATTCAGCTGTATATTTACTTGTAGTTGATATGATGTAGCGATATTTGAAACTATAAAAATCAGTAGAAGTTATCTTTTCGAATAACACGTATTTCGATGCAGAGGCAGGCATCACAATTTATAGTCCTCATATGATAAGTCCTTGAGTTTATTCCGTGAGTATACTCACGGAATAAACCCCTATCATATACGATAGGAAGTGTATATTCTATCTACTATTCTTTATGCCACTATTCTTTTTTAAAAACTACAACTGAGCTAAGGTACTGCTAGCACAATTCTCTTTTTCGTTTCTTTATACATGGTTGGATAGAGCGCATCCAGCTGACGAGGGAACCCCACGAAGTGATTAAACGCTTTTTGCTCGAAATCTAGTGGGTTATAGGTTATCGACTATGCTGATTACGAATACGGCCATGCGGCTTCCGCATAGCCCTTCGAAGACCTGGTTTTCTAGAAAACCCGTTTTTGTGATACCCCCAAGAAAAAACCCCCACAGTGGTTAATTGGCCTGTATTTTTGCCGCCC